ACTCACACTATTCGAGGACATCCGCTCGCGATTTTTTTTCATTCGTTGGTAATATTGTGTAAATCGGATCTCTAGGTTGAATTTTGTCGCCTTTGAGTAGGAACATAAAAAAAAAGAATCGGTTTTTGATTAAATAGGTGGTCAAAACCTGCTAAATATCTGAAATCGGGTTAGAGGGAAATGAGCTCCAAATTTTGAAATTCGTGGGGGAAGGTGACATACTCAATGAGAACGCCAAATGACATGTTACAATAATTTTGTACGAAAATGTGCTCAAATTATTCAAAATATATGACTCGCAGTCGTAATGTTAGATTTAGAGAGAGAAAGTTAGAGAAACAACGCCCAGGCTGAAGCGAGGGACAGTCTTGGTGCATACGCGTGGAATAAGGCTGGGTTTTTGGAAATTCGTACGAAAAGTGCTAAAATTTACTAAAACTCTAATACTTTATTCTGGACTAGAATGAAATAGAATTTGGAATAAGAGTCACTGATGGATTGCAGGATAGATGTATAAAAGGGGTTTAGGAAATTCGAAACCTTTATGTTACGAAGAGTTCTAAAGTGGTAATAGCTAAAAACTTGAAATTTGGTATGAGAATAAAGGTTGGAAAGTAACTTTGATATATGAAGGTGGTCTTGAAAATTTGGAACAGTTTTGGTTTAGAGCGCACTTATGAAGCTGGAATTTTGAAATTATGTGTTAGGATTCCTGTTAGTGATTTGATTGTGATAGAGAGGTGGTTTTGGAAATCTGTACACGATAAGTACTAAATAGTACTATATTTGGTACAATTTAATAATGTGAGAAGAGATAGTGCTTGAAATCTGAATTCTGGTATTATGGTTGCTGTTCATGTGTAGCCTGGACATATCGAGGTGTTTTTGGAATTTTACGAGAAGTACTAAATGGTACTATATTTGGTGAAGGGATAGAGATACAATTCTGAAATTTTATATTTAGATTACTGATGGTACCTGTGTTTGAGATTTGGCGGTGGTGGAGTGGAAATGCGTCCTATATTTGTACGAAAAGTATTAAATTTGGTATTGGATGGAGGAATAGGGCTGGAATCCTTAAATTTGATATTTAGGCCTCCATTAAGATATGTAGGAGTTTTGGAAATTTATTTTAAAATTTTATGCGAAATCATAAATTCCATATTCATCTCAGGTTTCTGATTAAGAGAACTATTTAGATATAGCAAGTTGTAAAGAATAGCTGATTGTTTCGCATGTCATGACAAATAAAAGTATAGCAAATTGTGACCCTTTATGGGTGAGGTATCAGAAGGGGTTCACAGATATATATCATCTTCACAACAGATCTTGTGTAAGCAAAAACGTTTGTATATATGAAATTTGAAATTTGAAGAGAGTTTGATGCTTATTCCTCTTTCTTTGGGCATTTTGTTTTTCAAATCTTGCACCCAATGTGAGGGAGGTACCACAGAAATAATGATCCGATCACTACCATCTATATAACAAATCTTGTGTTGATGGATATATTGAAAATGTACCAAGTCTGAATGGAATCGGATGTTAATTTCACGTTTTATAAGCTTCCTGTATATTCAAAAGTTAACAGAAGAACTGGACCAATATAACCCATCTTCACAGCAGATTTTGTTTTGTAGAATTAATGGAATGTGTAAAATATGAGGAGGACCGGATGATTCTTTCGGATTTAAGAATCGTTTTGGTTATTCAAATGACCCTTTGTGGGGGAGGTGAAGGAATGAATCGGTCTCTACCATCTTTATAACAGATCTAGTGTTGAAAAAAATATTAAGATGTGCAAAGACTGAATGGAATCGGATGTTAATTGTTCGTTTTAAGAGCTTCATGGACCCTTTGTGCGGGAGGTACCAGAAGAAGTGAACCGATATAACTTATCTTCAAAGCAGATTTTGTGTTAGTAGAAATAATGAAATGGGTGAAATATGAAGAAGCCCGGATGCTTATTTCGGTTTTTATAATCGTTTTGGTTATTCAAAATGTTGACCCTTTGTGGGGCAGGTAGCAGAAGGAATTGTCCGATCATGCATATTCAAAATTTGGATCCTTTGTGGGGGAGTTAGCAGAAGGGGTGGACCGATATATTCCATCTTCACAAAAAACCATGGATAATAAAAATATTGTGACATATGTATAGAATAATTAGTCAAAGTGTTGACTTTTTGTGGGGGGAGGTACTTGAGTGGACCGATATTGTCCATTTACGCACCTGACCTACAACTGATGCAAATATTTGGATTTACAAAGTTTTAACAAAATCGCATAATACCTTCTCTTTCTGTGCAGTAAAATATTTTTTTGTTTTTGAAATTTTGACATATTGTGTGGTGGTACAAGAAGGAGTGAACCGATCTTGCCCATCTCCGAACTCGATCAAAATTTGATAATAAAATTACGATGTACCAAGTTTGTACCAAATCGAATATCGTGTTCACCATCCAGCAGACAAACGGACTGACATCGCTCGACTCTAAATTTCCTGAAACGGATTTTGTCCAAAGAGACCTAGGGCCAATGAGGCAGGTTTTGGCCGTATCAAATGTTATATACCCTCCCTAGCCAAATGGCTGAGAATATTGCAAAAGACACTGTATGACTAAAATGCATGAATTTCGAGGAATCTAAATTCGAAAATTTACAAAAAAATCCTCTCTGTTTTGGTTACTTTTCGATTTAGACTTTCAAAACTCCGATACACGTGTCTCCTCTTTTAGCCTTTCTTTCATTATCTGCTGGATTTTCCCAATAATTATTGAAAATTGGAATTTTTCGAGACAGGTAAAGATATTGAATGTGTATGAATCGCCGACATCTGACCAATAACGATTGTTAAACGTTTATTCACATGATTCTCATTTCAATACTTTTTTTCTATGGCGTGTGCATTTGCACCCATTTTTATACCCTCCACCTTGAAAAGGAGGGTAGGGAGGACAATATATAGTCATTCCGTTTGCATCATCCCTTAATATTCGTCGTAGATTCCATAAAGTGTATATATTCATAATCAGCATAAAATTCTAAGTCGATTTAATGGTGTCCGTCTATCTGCCTATCCGTTTGTCTGTTGAAATCACGATACAGCCTATATTATTACGTAGACCATCAAAATTTGGTAGAACAATTTGTATTGTGTCTAAGATGGTTGGTATTGAAAATGAAATATATCAGTCTACGTTTTGGTAGAGCCGCCATATAACGGTACCTCGAATATCGTTAGGTAACGTTATATGGCGGCTCTACCAAAACTGTAGATTGTGGTATATGATCCGTGGGTCATAATGGGTTCTAGTTTCACAGGCTGAATATTGCATGTATAGGTCCACATTTTCGTATAGCCCACATATAACGTACCTCCCGATATTCAGTATTTTGAAGATTTTGCCACATTTCCCACGGATTTGTATTAAAATTGGTATTTGTATGTAATAATGGATTCTACCTGGAGAAAAATTGTATTTGTAGTTCCACGTTTTGGTATAGACCCCATAGAACGGTTCTTTCTGATATTCGATATTTTGAAGATTTTTGCAAGTTTTTATCACGGATTTGGCTTAAAAAATTGGTGTTTGTTGATCATGATGGGTTCTTGCTCCGGTGGCGAAACATTGCATGTATAGGTCCACGTTTCCGTATAGACAACATATAACGGTACCTCCCGATATTCGGTATTTTGATGATTTTTGCCACATTTTTTTCATTTCGGATTTGTCTGAAAATTTGTATTTGTGGGTCATAAACGGTTCTAACTCCGGTGGCGAAACATTGTATGTATAGGTCCTCTTTTTTTGTATAGTCCCATATAACGGTGCCTCCCGATATTCGATATATTGATAAAAATTGATACTTTTTATAATGGGTTCTAGCCCGGTGGCAAAACATTCAATATTTAGTTCCAAGTTTTCCTTAAGAGCACATATAACTATACCCACCGATATTCGGTATTTTGAGAATCCTAGTCACATTTACCCACATAATTGTTCCATATTTTGTATTTAAGAAGATTTGATAGATAGATAGATTAATGTTTTAAATGTTCACATAGTTGAGTTTCGGCACATTTCCGTTGGAGATCTTAATTATCTCCACGTGAAAGTACATTTCAATTTTCCTTCAAATTTTCATAGTCTAACGCTTTCTTTTAGCAGAGATCTTAAAAAATACCATCTGGCTGATTTCAACACTCTTTTCCCGTAGTTATTTTTGGAATTCTCATAGAGTATATCTGTTGGAATATAGAATTATAGCCTTCACTGCACACATCCAGCTGTAATGGAAAATAATGATATTGCAGTTCATAGTTTTGCAGCACACAGCAGCAGGAGCAGTAGCAACACAAATTTTCCAAGTCTATTAACACAACTGCCAACTCATTCCCAGTTTGAGATTAAAACAAGTATCATCCAAGCGTACAAATGAAAACTCTGTTACTCTGAAGTGTAACAATGTTAAAAACAAAAAAAAAAAAAAAAAAAAACGTAAAACAAACAAAAAACACAATGAACAGAAGTGGAATTCAGGGGCGTGGGTAGAGATTTTTTTTTTGGGAATAACTTCTTCTTTTTGGACAGACAGACAAAATCTAAAAATGAGCAAAATATTCCTGGATATAATTTTCTGGTAGGTTTTTTCAGGAAGGTATTGAATTATGTCCCCCTTCCCTCTCCTGGGTAATGTACGGCCCTGCCATCTGGACCCCCCAACTCAAACAAAGTGTAAGCTATAGAATAAAATGATATTTATGCAAAATAGACCAACGTGTTAAAATGTTGATGATGTTCCATGTGGCTTTGCTCAAGAATGAATCTTGCTCGAGACTCCTTCCTGTTTGCTTGGCTGAACGAAGACACCGTATCACAACAACGAAAATTTTCCAAAAATAAAAAATCCTTACAAACTAAAATGCAAAGTAATCGCTTTTTATCCCCCGCCCCCATCACTTTACCAAATAAAAATGTTTGTCCTTACTTACTAAAACTTACCGTGTGCATCTTTAGAGGATAATGATCCACCCATGCCGGAACTCGAACCACCAACACCTCCAATGCCAGCACTTCCGCCACCACCAATCCCGCTGCCAACTAAACCCAAACTATGTAACGCAGACGCTGAGGATAAGGAGGAGGATGAGTGCAGACGTGCCAGTGCATTTTGTGCAGGTAACAGGAATACGAATGTCATAAAAATCCAACGGAAAATAGGTGATGATGAGAACGAGGACATGGACGACGCAGAAAACGAAGACGATGATGATAACTTGGCGGATGACAAAGATGATGAGGTGAAAGCTCTACGGTTGGCTGGTAAACAGGACATTGTCGGTTTCGTCCTGGTTGACGTTGATGTAAATGTCTGCGTTGTTGTAGCGGAACTACTACTGCTACTACAACAGCAGCAGCAACATGTTATTGTAGTTGTTGCTGGGCAGGCCATTAAAATCCGCTGACATTTATGGCACTTCATTTTTATTGTTGATCCTAATGTCCTTCTGTGTTATTCGGCTACAGGACGAAAATAATAATAGTAATGCAATAACACAAGTGACCAAACGTTTTTATTTATTTCCTTTTTTCCTTGCTTTGGTCTCCGGTCTTTTTAAGGGGTGAGCACCTGTCTGGCTTTAATTCGGCGTTTGCCGCCCTTTCCTTTTTGTTTTTCTTTTGTGGTCTTTAAGAAATGACAAAAGAAAATTAATGATATCCTTCTTTGTCCCTTTTTTCTGTGTGTATGTGAGAGTGTCCTTTTGTGGCAGGATATATTTGTTTATTGCTATGGAAGCCTTATTTTAGAGTTGGGTCTTTCTTATTCCCTCTCTGGTGGATTTTATTGTAGGGTTTTTTTGGGGAATACAACTGGAGCCCAATGTAATTTGGTGATATGTCTTTGCTGTGAGGAGATTTAATCGCCAGACTGAAAAGAGAAAAGGACAGTAATATTAGAATACAAATAATTATGATATTCAAAAGGAAAGATTTGAAATATCTTGTTTGTTTTTGTATTTCACAAAAATAAAATATATATATAAATAACTCCCAGAGCTCTGTTGTTTTTTTTTAGAAAATCTCTCAGGACCTAACTATTGATACATAATTCTGTGAATTGATATTTAAAAAAACGTCAAAATCTGGCAAATTATAAAAGTAGAGCATAAAATAGAAGATACTTATATTGGCATTTTGAAAGTTAACATTCCAAAGTAACCTAAAAAGAAGCGGCAAGGATCTGCCCTCTTCGACACTTTTAAAAATTATCGGATTAAGATTCCTTTGAATCCGTTAATTTTAGGAATATAGTGTCTCTGGCAATATTGCAGACAACAATGTGAGAATTATTTGGCAGACAATTTTAGCCCTCAAGCGAATTATCCAAGGGGTCGTTTTTAGACCTTTTTTTTAAAAGTGAGATTGAAAACTCCCCTTAAATGGATACTCCAAATATTCATAAAAATACATTTTAGGGTTATGTGACGGAAGAAAAAAAATCATCAGCAGAAATGGTTCGAAAATTAAAGAAGCAACTTGATCAAAGCCCGCCGAAAAATGAACATATAGCAATTTTCCATTCGGCAAATATTAAAAAATGAGTTCGGGGTAATGCCATTGAAATTCCAAAAAGTGCAAGAACTTACACCGCAACAGAAAGAACAAGTAAAAAAGCAGTAAGTTCGACCGGGCCGAACTTTGAATACCCTCCACCATTTGGAACGAATTAGAAAATTTTCAAAAAATAAAATCCATTAACAATTCTGTTAAAATCTTTAAAATATCTAATATCGGAAGGTGCTTTATGGGGGGATATACGATATTGTGGACCTATATAGACAATTACCTTTCAGGGGTTAAAGTGCTCACAAACAACTCTTTGTGTGGATTTTCAGACAATTCCGTTGAAAAATGTGGGTAAAATCATCAAAATACCGAATATCGGGGGGTACCGTTACATGGGGGCTATACGCTATCGTGGACCTATATGGACAATTCTCTGCCGAGGTATAAAGTACCCACAACGAACTCCTTGTGTGGATTTTCAGACAATTCCGTTGAAAAATGTGGGTAAAATCATCAAAATACCGAATATCGGGGGGTACCGTTATATGGGGGCTATACGATATCGTGGACCTATATAGATAATTCTCTTCCGAGGTATAAATTACCCACAAGGTACTTCTTGTGTGGATTTTCAGACAATTCCGTTGAAAATGTGGTAAAATCATCAAAACACCGAATATCAAGGGGTTCCGCTATATGGAGGCTATACGATATCGTGGACCTATATAGATAATTCTCTTCCGAGGTATAAATTACCCACAAGGTACTCTTTGTGTGGATTTTCAGACAATTCCATTAGAAAATGTGGCTAAAATCATCAAAATACCGAATATCGGGGGGTACCCTCATATGGGTGCTATACGATATCGTGGACGGTGGCCCATCTTCGAACTTGACCTGCCTGCAGACAAAAGAGGGATCTGTGCAAAATTTTAGCATCTTATTTTAATTCGTTTAGACTGTAGCGTGATTACAACAGACGGATGGACATGGCTAAATCGTCTTAGAATTTTACGCTGATCAAAAATATATTTACTTTGTTGGGTCTAAAATGATTATTTCGATGAGTTACAAACGGAATGGCGAACTTAATATAGCCTCCATACTATGTATGGTGGAGGGTATAAAAATAGACTCAAAAGAGCTAAAGTGTAGCTTCGCTTTGCCGAAAGTGGTGAAATGTCGAATTTGGTTTTCTCCGATTAGAAAACAGTTTGTAAACAAACAAACAGATCGTCTTTACCTGCCAAAGAGGTCAGCTGAAAATGTGCACCTTCTATTATCCACCAGAACTCAAGCGAAAATATTCTGGAGAGTATTCTAAAGCCTTAGGAACGCAAACATTTTGGCCGCAGACATTAAACATTCCAACAGGACTCAGCATCACCGCTCTCAGCACGCGCCACCCAAGAATGGTTACAAAATGAGGTTCTTCCCTTCATTTCTAGTGCACAATGGCCACCAACATCTCCAAATACCAATCCGTTGGACTATTGTGTCTGTAGTATTTCGGAAAGCAAGGTTGGCACTAAAAAATACCAAAGTATCGATCAATTCAAGCAAGCTCTTCGCCGGGAATGGAAAATACCGCAGAGCAACATTCGGGCAGCGTGTGACAGTTTCATTGGCCGTTTGAAGGCCATAATTCATGCCAACGGTGACCAATTCGAACAAATCTAAACTTATTCTAAAATTTGATGCTATTTCCGAAATTTTTTGCCTTCATTCAAAAAAATTAAAAAAAAAATCAGAAATGATGTCGTTTGACTTTGTTGCATTTTTTATCTCGCCCTGTATATACTTTGAAAAAGATAGTCTCCATTGGCCTTTCAAAAAAAAAATGTACAAATGACACCCATTATGTCCATATTACCCCGAATTTGGTAGCCGGACTGTAAGTGGCTAAGCTAACCAACAGCTTAACATATTACCCTTAACCAAACTCATCTATTTTCAACCGGTTATCCCTTTCGCTTTTAAAGGGTTTAAATTGAATAAAAGGCTTCAGATTTAATTTGAGTTTAACACAACCGAACACCCGCACACGCACACACAAAAGAACGATTAATAAGATACAGAAAACTCTTTTTCCAACCGGACAAAAAAAATCTATTTAGATACCCTTGTGTCCCTTAATGGTCCCTGGCTTTATGGATGTGCACTTTAAAAATAGATTCCTGGAAGTTAATAAATGTGTTGGCTATTTTTCTCTTGGCCACATGAACTGTGTTAGTGTGGTAGTATATTACTCCCACTATTCACATTTGGCAGCACTTATCTATTTAAGTATTTTTGCCGTTGTTGTTGCTGCTGCTGTTGTTGTTGTATTTTCATGCTTCAATAATAACATCCTTAGTCAATCTAAACGAGGAAGTAACCTCTGTTATGGTCCAGGATACTAAACTGCAGAAGCAGGGAATCTTTATTATTTTTACAAACATTCTCCCTCTCACACACAGACACATACACACGTAGCATTCTCGGGGACACATGGGGTAACATTTAAACAGCTATGACCCATTGGACAGTTTGCTGGTGTAACAATATCATTTGTCTCAACATCCCCACTCATCATCTGTTTTTTTTTTTTTTTTTTTTTTGGGTTTTTCTAAACTTTTTGCTGTCTGTGTGAATGTGTAAACATGTGTGTGTTGTCTTTGGGCCTGTCGAAAAGGTACTTTGGCACACAATCACACCACATTTATCTCTAATGTTGCCAAAGACAAACTTATGTTGTTTTTGATGGTTTCTCTGGGCGAGAACGTTAGTTCAGCTATCTGGCCATCTACGGCATTTAGAAACGGCTGCTGCTGTTGCCACTGTTTCTGCTACTGCCGTCGCATCAATTCCATGGAGCATTGAAGGACATTACATTGTTTTGTTACATGTCATCCTCAACAATGATGAGGATAATGGTCATGAATGTGATCATTGAACACATACAAGTCACCGAAGATGTCCAAGGAGGTCTGCGAGAGAGAGGGTGTGGGCTTCGGTTCCTTGGGGGGTTTGGAGCTGTGTGGGGTTTTCATTCGTAGTCTAGAAAGTTGACAATGTCCAGAATGAGTGATTATTATGAACAAAGGAAAAATAGGAAAATTTCATATCTGTTGTGGCATAACAGCAACAATAAAATGTGTCTTTTGCCCTTGAGTTTAACAAAAGTTAAGAGAAATTGGCATTTTTAAAGATTTTTCCGGAAAAGTTTTCATATCTTAAAGTCATGTAGAATCTAGGAGTTTTCAAGGACACCATAAAAGTAATTTAAAATGAATTTTTAATAACATATATTTCAAAGAACAATCAGCGAATAGTCGTGGATTTTTTTCTGAATATTATTTTAAGGACGTTCAAAGAAATAACTTAAAACCAGTAAAGAAAGTCTTAAAGTCGGGCGGGGCCGACTTTATGATACCCTACACTACTTTGCTAATTTAGTAGAACTCCGCATAACAACTAAAAGTTTTTACGGGAGAATTCAATCATAGACGCAATGATTATAATTATAATTTAAAGTTCAAAGGACTAAATACGCCGAAGCATTTGTATCTTTTAAATTCGGACTTGTATTGCCAATTTGGTGCACAATTAATTTGAAATCGGATAAAAATATATATGGGAGCTATATCCAAATCGGAACCGATCTCGATAAAATTTGGCAAAGATATTTCTGAGCTGTATTTGATATATTTTCCTGAATATCTTTGTTACGGATTGCATATTACGGCTGTGGGTAACAAATATAACAAATCGGATGAACAGTATATATGGGAGCTATAGCTATATCTGGACCGATCTTCACCAAACTTGACATAATGTCTTCTAGACTCAATTCGGTCGTAAGTGCCAAATTTCATCCCATTTGGGCAAATATTAGACGTTTGGTGCACAATAAAAAGTGAATCGGACGAAGTTGTATATGGGAGATATATCCAAACCGGAACCGATCTCGAGAAAATTTAGCAAATGTATTTCTGAGCTGTATTTGATATATTTCCCCAAATATTGTAGTTGCAGAGTGAATATTACGGCTGCGGAGGACAAAAATAACAAATCGGATGTACAATATATATGGGAGCTATAGTTATATCTGAACCGATTTCGATCAAATTTGGCATACTTATTTTCAGGTCCAATCTGATCGTACGTGCAAAATTCCATACTATTCGGACTGATATTACACGTTTGGTGCACAATAAAAAGCAAATCGGACGAAGATACATATGGGAACTATACCTAAATTTTGACCGAATATCTCCAATTTCAATAGGGTTCGTCCTTGGGCCAAACAAATGATTTGTGCAAAATTTCATCTGGATAAATGCAAACTGTACTTTGTTTACAAGAATACATGGACAGACG